TGTTTGATGTACTCGATGTTGAACGATAAAAACTTTTCAGAACATTTTTATCAGACGTTTTATGTCTTTGCCACGCTAGACTTCCGCTAAAACTTTCAGACTTTGCTCCGACGTTAGTCGGATAATAAATTATAACCGTTTTATGTATCAGTTTTAAATTCTAACGGTTTTCAGAAGTTATGTTTTTCACGGTAACCCCCGAATCAGTTTCGCAAATTAAGAAGTTAGCTTATTTATTTATTTATTCAGAAAATTTGCGAAAAATCGCGTACTCTGATGTATTAAAATAGCGGGGTGTTACAGACTGGTATCAGAGTGCGTTTTTGCGTCTCTGAAAAATTTTTCAGTAAAAAATTTTCAGAAAAACCTGAACCGTCACGCTCACGCCTCGCCGACGCCAGGTAAGTGCTGATTCAGTTTTTTTCAGTTATAAACATATTACTTTGTCTATGCTCAGAAATCAGTAATCAGACTTAGTTAAGATGCTCAAATCAGATTCAGACCTTAGAGTTCAGATATAACTCTAGAATTCAGTGGATTCAGACTTGACTTTAGAAATCAGTACATTCAGATATGACTCTAGACTTTAGCATCTTTTGATATAACTCTAGAGTTCCTCAGGTTTCATGTCAGTATTTATCGGCCATTTTTGACAACTCGTCAAGAGATCTGTGTGCCTTAGTAATCAGTCAGAATATCATCATGTTCAATAATCTTGAATTCCTTTCAATGTTCAGATGGCACCAACTCAGGCTACCGTGGTTGCTCAGTTCTGCGATTACCATGCCGAGAAGTTCTCAGGGCAGGGAGACCCTCGCATAGTTGACGAGTGGATTCAGGGCCTAGAGTTTATCTTCGAGGTCATGGAGTGCCCTGAGAGATATCGCGTCATTTGCGCTCAGCTTCAGCTCACCGGAGATGCTAGGCTCTGGTGGAACGCTTACTGGGACATGCGTCCCGGTGAGAAGGCGGGATGTACGTGGGAGATGCTCAAGGACTTGATCCGTGAGAAGTACTATCCCACATACTACCGAGCAGAGAAGGAGCGCCAGTTTCTGTCGCTCCGGCAGGGTACTCGTACTGTCGACGAGTACGAGAGAGAATTCACGAGACTTGCAGCCTTTGTACCCGATCTGGTCCGCACGGAGGCCCAGCGAGC